ACACACACACACACACACACACACACACACACACACACACACACACAGGCTGGCAGTGAGGTGGCTTAGAGACAGAAGAGTGGAAGGTTGGTCTGAAATAAGGAAACCCCATTAGCATCAGCCAGAGGCAGCGCTAGGGTATGATGCAGCTACACAAGGCTGCAGGCCAATGATGTACTGCAGCCTGAGTAAACACACACACGTTGATGCAGTTGTTTTTCAATGCTTGGGTCGGGACCCAAAGGCTGGTTACATTAGTATATGAAACTACTGACTGTGGTATGACGCCAAATGACGAGGTTTTTGCAACATAGCATAGGATGAATGAAAAACTATCGGCCAGTAGGTTAGTTGCACAAAGTTACGTTTGATTTGAAAGTCAAGTTCACTATACGGGATTCAGAGTATTAACATAGCAGCAGACTATTTGCTATGTAAAGTTATAGTGGAGGGATGTCAACATGAGCAGAGGATGAAGTTCTCTACTCTGTGCTTTTTTTTACGCAGCCAGACCGGCCGGACATGCATGTTAGTGCATGTGAGTCTCCCTGTTGTGCCCCACCGGCTAGCTAATTGCCACCTCTCTGCCTGCGCTCATACTGCGGCTACCGCTGATGAAGCAGCCCTGACCGACGCCGTTGTCTCGGTCCCCCCAGGTAAACAATGTTTGCACTGTTAGCTCCTAGCTGCCGGCTCAGCGATTGCCATTTTGAGAGCCTTCCCTTAATCATAAATTTGCTCAGGATTCCATGTTGAGTACCTTTAAAGATCTGATTGCAGGTTGTTCAAAATACTCTTATTAGAAAGACACTTTCAAACACACTCATAGCAAACACAAACACTGTATTGGAGGCTTTAACAACAAATACATTTAAGAAATAAAATACATAAGGTATTTTGTTAAGTTGCATCTTAGCAAAATGTTCTGAGCGAATATAAGTACCCTCTGGTAAACAGCGATGCAGTATATATGTCTAGGGCTTTTATTGTGAAAGGTAAGAAGAAGCTGTATGAAAATGCCTACTTTCCACGCCCAAGTGTCCGTTTGACACGGAAATTTGTGGCTGTGCAGACTGCAAGCAAAGCATGCAGTACATAATAAAACACTGATCTACAGGTAATACATGACAGTAAAATACTGTAGAGACAAACAAACCATATGACTGTTTTGCTGGTTGGGGAAGAACACTCAATGGTACAAAAAACTAATTGAGTTTGATCATTTCATGGAAAATATTTCAAAGCTCCATGCTAAAAGCAGGTACCTTACCCAATGACCATCGCTCATTCCTGATGGATGACATAGTATGAGCTAACTCCTTCTACCACACACACACACGCACACAAAATAAAATTCTCCTCTTATTCCCTTTCTCTTCATTACCCGCTTCCCCAACCATCTCCCTCTACCTCTGGGATTTGGGACCTGTGAGTCTGCTTGCTTGACATTTAATTCAATATCCCTCTCCATTCTCTGCACCTCCTTCTATGATGTCCTGTGCTTTCCCCCATTCCCCATGTTTTTTTATTTCACTCCATATGTTCCTTCCTCACATATCTGTCCTCTGTACTCCATCTCTTTATCACACGTCTCCAATTGGAGTCCCTGTTTGTGATGCCTGTCTCATACTCAACTTCTCTTTCTCACTCTCGTCAACTTTTTATGTCGTGTCATGCCCGCACCCCCCACTTCTCTAGCCTCTAAAGCTCTTCTAAATTCCTCTCTTCGTGTGGGACATGCACGTCCTTCTCCTCTCGTCCATCTGTCCTCCTTCCGCATCATCCCCGGCCATCCTGACCCCACCAGTCCGTGTCCTCTCCCCCCTTGTCCTTCACAGGCTGCTGTGTGGCCTTCAGCTGAAGGTCTACACCGGGCCAGGCCTTGAGGAGTGGCCCTGACAGGCAGCTGAGCTCACAGAACCACACACATAAACAACATGTCCACACACACACACACACACACACACACACACACACACACACACACGCACACACACACACACGCACACGCTCAGCAGCCAGCGTTGTGCATCGCTCACACTGGCAGCAGTTCAACTCATAACATCTGTTTACCCTCGTACAGCAATAACCTCCAGAGTAAGGAGTTGTTGCAATTAACTCCCTCTCTCTTTCTGTCTGTCACACACGCACACCGACACACACACACACGGACACACGCACATGCTGACAGCCCTTCCAAATTGCAGGAGGCATGAAACAGAGCAACTTGTTAAAACAAAACAAAAAAAGGGAAAGAAAGCATTACAATATGATACTTTAATGTACTCATATATATATATATATATATATATATATATATATATATAATCATGTGCCTTAATGGGGCGAACCCTGTGCTGTATCCCAGGCAATCAAACGGAGAATGTGTGTGTGTGTGTGTAGCGTGGGCACAGAGACATTCAATGTCCATAACCATCACCATGACCCCTGTCAAATAAATAGAGAGAGAGGGGATGGAAGACAGGGAGCAGAGCACATGGGGAAAAAGGTAGCAGGGAATGAGAGGGTAGGGAGGGAGACATTTATGTTCCCTTCAGACTCTCGTGCTGCTCGTTCTCTATTCATACAGATTACATGTGCGAGTGTGAAACATGTTCAAATGTTGACCAAAATCAAAGGGCCAGGAAGAGACATTTGGAATGGGTACCTGCTGCTGCTGCTGCCTGCCGCTCCCTCTATGAGGTTGGTACAGCAGCCACGTGCAGAAAACCGGGTCCACGTTGACAGCTATGCCTTGGACACTGACCAGCAGGACCGCACCTGGACAAAGAACAAAGACAAAGAGGATTTAATAATGCAAGTCTGCAGACCAAGACGATCGAAACCCATGATGGATGGGTATGTTTCTAAAAAAAATGAAAGACGAACAGGAAAGGGAGTACAAAATCACCAGAACAGTAGACAATACTATACTTCAGTGATCAACACAGCTGATTCAAAAGGATCCACATCAAGAGATGCGCAGAATGAAGAGAAAACTATCTGAACTCACATCGTCAAAAATGTCCCCATGCTGCCGCTGCGGTTATTTCTGCAGAGTTGGAGGCACATCGATACGGATCACTGAAATCAATGTAAGGTGACTTAGGGTAGAGCTGCTCAGATTGAGCATGAGGTTGTTCCTCTCTCCGTCGGCCTGCCGGTGGGTATCAATTGCGCCGTTCAAAGTGGTATAAGCCAAGAATAACATTTTCTTTTGATAAATTTCTATGAAACTCGAGACCTTCTCTGAGTTTTGGTTTACTCTTAAATAATAATCTGCACCAACAATAAGCGGGGCCCTGAGGTAATGCATTAGGATCCTATCAATAATGACTCCCATGCCGGCGGGATTAGCGCCGGGGTCTCTGGCGTGCCGTGGAATGTCCCGGCATGACGATGGGAAGATGTTTCAGCTCTAGCAGGACTTTCGGCAGTTTAATGGAGCTTTGGACAAGACTCTGGTCTTCTGTTTCAGGCCCCGGGGCAAAGCTGCGAGTGTGTAAGTGTGAACGTGCAAATGTGTGTGTGTGTGTGCGTGCATTTCGCCTTCCAACAAAGCCTGATTGCTTGTTGCTTCGCCTAACATTTTAATGTCTCCGAAGCGTGGACAAAGCACAATTATGAACTCTCCCTGAACACACACATACACACACACACACACACACACACACACATTTTTGTTAGCTCTCCAGCTTGGCAGGAGTTGCTCCCTCCTCCATTATTCCCTGTGAACAATGCAAATAAAACTCCTCCAATTTGCTCCACTTTTACAACATTCAGTGATTTGTGGCCTGTGAGCCTGTGTGTGTGTGTGTTAGTACTGTCAAATGTTTGTGTGTGTCTGTGTGTGTAATGTATAAAGTGTGTGCTGTGTGTTCATTCACAGTACAGCATGATGTAATGTACTGTAGTGTATGCATGCATCAGTGCTGGTGTTTGTGTGTGTGTGTCTGATCATTATTCACCAGGTGCACTGGTATACTCATGGTTTGTTACTGGCACAGGATCCTTTCTGAGGGGAAACTTTCCTCATTGGATCAGGTCAAACTGTCTCACGTTTCTTCCTTTATCGCTTCATCTCTCTTTCTAATTTTCTTTACTTTCCGTCACTTCCATCTTTCTTCACTATTTATCTATTGATGTATCCACAACAACAGCCTTGCTGGCATTTGTCCCTGCTTCAATTCCATCCTAAAACCCCTCCTGTTCCCTTACAACGCTCCTTCATCCATGCTTCCTCATCCTCTCTCACCACTCTTTACCCTTCCTTCTGAGACCATACCTCCAGCCTTCCTCGTCATCCTGCAGCCACCTCTCTCCACCCGCCCCCCTCCTCCTCCTCCTGACGAGGAATCACAACCTCAGTCCTGTGGCTTGAACTCCTCCACCACAGTGTGGCTGCTTAATAGGCTTTGGCTGTGGCTGCAGCGCCGGGGCCCCTGGCTTCAAGTGGTTTTCATAATGGCCCAGAACAGCGTGAGCAGTGTGGGACCCAACAGGGCCGGGAACGGGGTTGAGCAGCGAAGATGTATTCGATAAATCGACTGACTCAAAACTGAGGTCGACGGGATTGCACTGAGCACGACAAAGCACGTTCAGCAGAAATGAGTCACGGCACAATAAATCATATTATTCAGTAGATGGGTTGCTTATTTAACAGTTATTACAGAGATAAATGAGCAAATGAAAGTATATAAAATGCCTAATTGGAGAAAATTCTTAACCAGAGTAGACTGCATAGCATCGTTATGCGCTAAAGCCAATGCAGACACACTGAGCTTTTTTGGTGGAGGATGCTCTGCAGCGCGAGAGCCACTTCGTCATCGCCATGAGCAGATACAATACACAAAAAACCCACACATGTAAGTTTCCATAACGACAAAATTGTCTCATCATCAGTTGAACGGAGCTGACTTCTGAGTGCATCGTAAGCTGGCTGCTTAAATAACCAGCTGAAGCAACTGGCGTGGCATCAGCAGCTTTAAAGTGCCAGCAGCCGTCATCTTACTGCGGCCCCGTGTCACAATGACAGCCGTGACCATTTTGATAAATCACAACACCACTCAAAAAGCCCTCTCTCTCTCTGAAATAAACAGAGCAAACACTTTTTTTTCTCTCTCTTTCTGTCTGTGTTTGACAGCGACACAGAAACCAAAATACGTGCTGACCTGGCCTACGAGGCTTTGAAGACCGAGGCTTTGCCGCCCGCACCGTGTTTTCTCGTGTCATCGCCGTTGTTGACACAACGGCCGGAGAGTGACGCCTCGATTGAAGCGTGCGGCAACGTAAAGCGGCCCTCATGACCTCCACACCAGGCTCGCTGTTGGTTTTCTGTGCTCCAGTCGGGTGGCATGACGGTCATTACAGAAAGTGATGACAACGATAACAGAGGTGTTTTTTTACTTCCTAAATGATTCCCCAAGAAAACACCAGAAAGCTGCTCAAGTGTCCGTGGAGGCATCTGTGAAGACACACACTCACCGTGACTCACCCACAGCGGACCTATTAATGTCAAAGGTGTTTTTTTTCTTCTTAAGACCAGTAGAGGTAAAAGAGAGCAGGGGGCTGCTGGTGTTGTTTTACGGCTGTCTGACTCACAGCCTGAGGCTACAGTATAGAGCGTTAGACCAGACTGAGAGGAGGCCTCTGACCTCTCAGTCCTGTCTATGTTCCTCTGTTGGTCCTCTCCTTTCCAGTCATCCATCAGCCACACATCTCTCTGTCCTATCGTTGTCTTTTTTTAAATCACATTACATCGTTTATACATTGTTGAACGCAAAAAAATCTGCTTTTGTTCAGTCACTGCAAGCATGAAATTCGATAAAGTGGGAGCGGTTAGGTCAGCGCCAGTTCAAACAGCGAGTCCCTTCAGCGGAGACCAGAGCCCTGATTGGGGTTAGAGGGGGCGCAACCTCCTGACTACAGGGGCCACGACCCCACCGTCACAGTTACAGGCAGGCAAAGAGAGGCGGGGCGAGCTCGGCATCCAACCCCCCCAGGTAGACGGAGGGGAGGAAGAATTCATGTTCAAGCTAGCTAATCGCCCCCCTCCCCCGCCCTTCAGAATCGCTTCATTGTTGGACGCGAGGCAGCGCTGGGTCCAGCTCCTCCAACAGAAAATAAATAAATATAGCCCGGCCCATGTCAGCCAGATGACTTCTGACAGGTTTGGTTAATTTTGAAGCCAAGTAGCAAAACAAAACATTACGCCAGCGTGCGGGGCCTGCGCTGCCTTTAATTGCTTTTCCGATGAGCTCATGACTCGAAGGTGTCCTGGAGCGAGCCAGGCGGCCCGACAGGTGTTCTGCTGGTGTGTGTGTCGGTGGCTATGAGAGAGTGCGTGAGTGTGTGTGTGTGTGTGTGTGAGAGAGAGCTGGAGCTGTTGACACTGCTGAAAAAAGGGGCTCAGCTGTGTGTGGGTGGGTGCAAGGGACAGTGTGTGAGTAAGTGCTTCTCTGTGAACGTGTTTCTATTTGTATCCATTTGTGTGAGTGTGCGCGCAGTTGGACTGTGAACAGACACAGACTAATGCACACACTGCTGTTCCCCCTGCCGTGCTGTGACCCGGCGGGCCCGGGGGCAATGCCGCAGATCCCGGCCCTACAGAAAGCTTGCTCTCACTCCGGGGCCCGTGCGGCTCTCCGCACTGGATGCCGGTAATGTGCGTCTTGTGGGTTTTAAGAGAATCTAAGCATGCGTGAGTGTGTCTGTATGGGTCCAACTGCAGTAGCCTGCAGCTGACAAGCTGGACCCACCTCGTAAAAGGTGACTACTGCTGTGTGTACTGTAACAGTAATAGGCAGGAAGAAAGCTGGAGAGTGATTCAGCCAGTGAAAAGGCAGACATGGAGAAGGATGGAGTGACAGAATCACAGACACACATTCAGAAAGAGAGACGGAGATACAGAACATAAACACAGAGAACAAATAAAACAGTGGATGATGAGAACTTGTTATGGTGTTTTTAAGTCATTTTCCTAATCTTCATGATAAGTGACTAGGCCTCAGACTTTGGCCATGGGTCTGTGTGATTTATGGGATGACCGCAGTAAGCCTCCACATGCAAAGTCCTGTGAACCAGATCCATCACACACAGCCAAGTCTGGGTAACCAGCAGAAGCATGCAAGTGTGTGTGTGTTTGTGTGTGCGCCCGTCTACATTACACGCATGTTGAAAGATCCATGTACATACACATGAATCCACTACGTAACTCCAAAACTGTGTATGAGCATGCATGTCAACACGTGTTCCTGGATGATTATGAACGAGTATTAGAGCGCGGGGCTGCATCTCATCCACAGAGAGACATCCGTCCCCGTTTCCCATCAGGACCGAGGATCCTCCTTTCCCATCTGCCAGGGTTTCGATGACTCATGGCTGCTGTTCGAGTCCAGACAAAAGCACTGACCACTGCTGCAGCGCTGTTGTATGCAGAGCTTTGGGTGGTGCACACCTCAACAGCTAGTTCCCTGTGTATGTATGGGTAATGTGTGCCCGTTGTTATTTGAACATAGATACTATACAAAGAGATATTTGATCCTCAGGCTGAGTAGGATCTAAAGTAAATACAGCGCAGCCAAACAAAGGTCAACTTCTGAAATCATTTGAATAAGTACCTCTGAAGCGTGATCGACGCCGACACTGATAGTTCTTGCTTTTGTCTGTAACGTGAACAAATCCTACATCCGTTTCTTAAACCTGCAGTGCCGAACTTTGGTCTTCCCCCTCTCTGGCAGCGACACACTCTGGCAGTGACACACGTGCTTGTGACATCCCCC